GTATGTTTGAAACAACAACAAAAAATCCTCAATTAATCGCATTATGCTGGAGAGAGTGCAAATCCCAAAGTGTCCAATGCAGCAGAATAACCAGCACAGCTGTCATAAAGTATGCTGACAAGTGTCATTGGGGAATAGACAGTTTGCAAAAAGTATCTCTGTACAGGAGCTATAGTGTTATGTTATAGTCAGCAAATTTCTCCCCCCAAAAAAATCATCATATTGTCAAAACCAACAATCAGCAAGGAAATAAAATATGAAAGCAAGACAAAAGTTATATGATAAAATACTGTCAGACTTGTGTTTTGAAGTAATGTTTTTTAAAGTAATATCATTTACATATAATTTATAGGAAAATAAACAGCAAAAGGCCATTCTAATCACTCTCTGTGTGACACATCACATAAAGGCCTTATTATACTTATTTAAATCGATTTGTTTCTTGTATATTATGTTATGCATTATTTATTACTAAAATAATACATAATAAATAAAACCATTCTTATGCAATACTTACATAATATCTTATTCTGAAATGTAAATTACACACCAAAAACCTAATTAGCCATTTGTTATATGCACCTTCGTGCTGTCACACAAGGAAACTTTGGCTTATGTGGTGTATGGGGTTTATTGATGTTGCCTCAGTCGATGGAGAGCGTTTCAAAATGGGTCTCTGTAATCCTCATATACAATTCAAAAAGAGCATATTTAAACCTGCACAACCCCCCCACAGCAGCTGCCTCCACAGTCAAGGGAGAGAGATAGAGAAGAGCTGGAGGTAGAAAGTAGATGATGGAGGAAAGACAGTATAACAATTAATATAAGGAGACATTTTCCAATCAGTTTATGCCCCTGTGTGAAATTAAATTTCTGTTTATGTGCACGCTTTCATTGCTTGTGACTGACAGCCCTGAAAGCACCTGTGAGGGGAACGAGTTTTGAAGGAGTGAGGGGGTGCACACAAATCTTCTTACGCTTGAAATGTAAACACACCTGCCACCTTGCATATAACGGCAGTGCAACATTAGCAACCATATCTCTGTTTCAGATACACTTCACCTCAGTTTTTAGAACAGAAGTCTGCTTTTTATATAATTGCATGCAGCACCCAGCAACAAATTATTTTCTTAATCAGTATTTTTGTCTTATTTTCAGTGAAAATATCTAAACAGCCTTAAAACAAAATCAATTTAGTTGCGTAAGATATTATGATTTGTTTCCAGAGATTTTTTTGACCCCTTTGACAAATTCAGTTGATTAATTGAACTGATTAAGAAAAGAAATTAGATTTAGAAAAACTTAACCTTAATTCAGTCAAGTTTTTATGATGCATAGAGTTATTTTGTTTTAATAAAATATTTGCTGGAAAACAAGACCAAAATACTGAAATAAAGAGTTTTTTCTGTAGACAGAGCAGTCTGTAAACAGCATTATTAGCACTCTGCTCTTACTGATGATGTTCAAGACCAGTGTGGTGTTTGCGAGGAGACTTTCTCTTTCCTAATTCTGATAATAAGGCCCTAACACAGGCAGTCGCATGAAACAGAGCAGGAAGACTCCTTAGAGAAAGCCTCATCTGGGTCTCATCTGAGCGGAGAAGATACAAGTCAGGCTTTCAGGCAGATATGAGAGTAGACTTTCACTGTCATAGTGAACTCACAAGACTAACCTGAGCAGAGAACAGTTGTCGAAAGTAAATACTAAATGTGTAAACACTAATATTTGAACAAAAATATTACAGTAATTAGCCAAAAAAGTTATATAGATGTTGACAGATTCTTTTAGGTGCAGAGCTGTTGTGTTCTTCTAACAATCTGTGCTGTTTTTTATGGCATCCAAAGGTACATCCAATTGCCACAGACAGTCCCAGCAGAGTACTATGAGTCTCAATGTTGCATCTCCAACAAACACAACAATCTCTGACAATCTCTCTGCTAAGACTTCCCAGATAGAATAAATCCACACTCATTTAAGCACACAGAAAATCATTAAAGTTTCATTTAACTATACTTTTACTGGTTCATCTGAAATGTCCCTTTATCTAACTGTAAATACCAATGAGTAACATATTAATAAACATAATTTAAAGTCATGTGGTACACAGAATCTTTAGGACAACCAGTCAATCTAAAACTAATATAGGCTAAACCAAGAGCCCAAAAAAATGTTCATACCACCTGACAACCACACAGTTGCAGCAAGACTTGGATAAAATTAACATAACACCTCTATCATATAACATTTGCCAAGCTTCGAAGTTGAAAACAGATAAGAAAATCTCAGCTGAAGTTCTGCTAAAGCCGTCAGGGCCTGTTAGAGAGCCAGTATTTTATGTAACGGCAGTCTAAGGCTTAAGTCAATGAGTCATGAGGCAAGTCAAGTGCCTTCATTTAATATAGCCGCTAATATAGTTGCTCTTAACCCTGAACTGCTCCTTCAAAGAGACGTCAGCCATCAGAATGTCAAACAGAGGAATATCTGGCAACACTGGTCTGTATGACAACATGAGCAACACCGCATTCATTTAGAGACATTACTATGAAACCCAACTATTGATTTTGATCAAATATGAAACTTTTGTCTTCAAATGTTACTTTTTTTTATTAAAAGGATTCGTTTTTAGCCTAAGTGCCTGAACAATTCATTCCACTATGTGAACATGCTTAAACTTCACATTTAAACTTAAGCTACAGAGTGACTTACAATACAGCACTCAAAAAGAAAAGTCCATTGCCGCTAGTCAGCTAGTCAGTGGGATTTTTTTTTTTTTTACACAAGTCACATCATTAGTATCTTTTTCTGCAAACAGTGGATCCAGAGGAACACTGCTGCTGTATTTTACTGTGCTGTAATCATCACAACCCATGAAAGACTTCTCTGCACCTACAAAACATCCCTTAATGTTTTTTCCTTCAACGAACAGTGTTCATCATGAATGCAGAGAATTGTTTCCCAAGGTGCTTATTTTAAACTTTATAGTCAAAAAACATGACTTTTGAGAATTGCATTAACACAAACACTATGCTTTAACATGTCTTATTTGATGAGTATTTATTCCTTATTGTAACATTGCTTAGTCTTTAAGTGATAGTTCACGCAAAATAAGAAAACTGTCATCATTTACTCACCCTCATGTCATTCCAAACCTGCATGACTTTTTCTATATGGAACAAAAACGAAGATATTTTGAAGAATGTTGGTAGTTGCCCATTGACTTCTCAAAATATATTCTTACAGAACAAAGTCAGTTAGCAACAACATGAGGGTGAGAAGATGACATTTTTTTTTTTTTTAAACAACTTTGAAATAATGTTAATCATTTTAATGTTGCTGTATTTCCAATACTAGTACACATTTCATTAGTGATCAAAACACAGAAGGTAAGCCTGAAAAAATATTCTTAATAGGAAGATTCTTTACTTTATTGCTATAGTTTGTCTGGAAGTAGATATTATATTTCTATATTTGTATATATTCTACATCAGTTTTATACTTTTCAATGTCAAGTATAGATTTTTACCATGATGAAACACAGATGGAAAGAATATGAAATCTTTTTTGGAAATGACAAATTAAGAGAATACGCCTTTACTAGTGGCTGTAGATGTAGAGAAGGTGACCTTGGACTCAATTAGACACTCTGTAGGCAGTTACAGCTCCTGCTGGACCTACCAGGAGGAAAACTCTCTGCATATGGTTTCATTAATCATTAAGTCATTATGTTTAACTGTTAGATAGAAATCACTCTTAAGTAACACTAACAACCCGAGTGGAGTTTGGCAAACAGCAGTTAATGGACTAAGATCCTGACGAAAAAGATTCTCTAGTCTGATGAAATAAATGTTAAACTCTTCAGCCTGAATGCCAAGCAGTGTGACTAAAATGGCTCAACTGCTGGCTAATACCATACTTACGGTGAAACATGATGATAGCAGCATCATGCTGTGGGGATGTTTCACTTAGAAAATAAACCTCAAGATTACAGATCACAGTCCATTTTGGCAACTCCGGCATTTTTGGCTAAATTTAAACAGAAAAAGCAGCAAGCAAGTGTAGCGTTTCATTCTTAAAAGGCTGTATCTTTGAAATAGCATGCTTCTAATTAAGAGCTGAAATTAGTTTCTTAATCATATTCAAATATTAAAAAGGTTAAAAGAACACTGCAGTCCATTCATTCTGGTTTAGTATAGCTTGAACAGACCCACGTTTTGAGCATATATACATTTTGGTAGTATATTAGGAAAGGATAGATCCATCTTTTATTTTAAGGGTTAAAAAAGGATATAACATCCATGGAATATGATGAATTTGGATGGTTTGTTAAGCTTATATTACTATTATCTCGATGCATAATCTCAGTGCATTGCCACAATGCAGAGTCAATTTACAAATGACATCAATAATACAAAACTGCACTAAAACAGCAAGCACAAACAATTTATCTCCTTCATCCATGGAATTCCAACTAATGTAGTGAAGGGGGGGGGGGGTTCTCTAGCTGATTAATGTAAGCTGCTGTAAAGCTGTTTATCTGGTGCCAGAATCATGCCAATTTGTCATTGTAAATCTACTAGTGAAAGTGAGGCAGTTGGAGGACGCTGAGTCGGTAACAGCTGGTTGAGGAGGTGATGCAGTGAGGGGTAAAGCATCCGCAGGAGCTCCCCTATAAGCTACGGTCGCCATGGCAACGCTGGGGAAATTAGGTGTTAAAGGAGTATCTTGTTATGCAAAAAAGCAAAATGCACCAGTAATTTGGTTTTGTTTTGGAAGTTAGACAGTAGATATCCACAATAATCCGAGTGTGAAAACTGCATGCTTGAGTGTTTTTATAGTGTGTCATGACATATAAGTCACTATGTTATACTATAAAAACACTGTAGCTTAGCTTGTGTGTGTGTGTGTGTGTGTGTGTAATGTGTGACAGTGTGTGATTTAAATATTCAATTTAATATTTAATGTTTTTTTAACTTTTAAATGTACTATGAATGCATGCTGTCCGACCAGTTAGATTGAATATCAGTTAACTGTAAAATACCAAAGCATAAGTTTTAGCTGCCTGCTTTAATAACACCTTCCCAGCATCTGAAAAGATCTCACTCCTGTATGTGGGACTGCAGCTTCAGCGCCCTGGGTGGAATTTAGAGACAGAATGATGATTTCAAAGGAAGCTTATTCAGCTGTAACAATCCGATGAGGAATTCTGTCTCAGGTGGTGGTGGAAGTTTGCAGTCGGTCTCCGAGCAGAGGGGATTTTCTAACCTCTATTTATTTCCTTTAAGCTTCACTGCATCTAACAAAAAATCATTTGAAGTTGCGAAATGTGTTTATTGTGTATATACTGTATACATCAAACAGATAATTTTAAGAATGGGTTTAATGACATTATAACTGCTGTATGATATAGGATTTTTTTTTATTTACTCACCTACTAACATTATATTTTGACAGCGTCTTCTATGTAGATGCTGAAGGACAATAAAAAACACTTTGGATAAATAATACACAGAATATATAACATGAGCTTCTGTAATATTAAGTTAAATGTGAAAACATATTATTATTATTAATACATAACAAAATAGGCATTTCATTTGTATAAGGAAAAACAAACGCACACTTCTTCCTTCGTTTTGTAGGATGTACTGCTCTCCAGTCGACTGGTGTGGGTGAAAATTATGACTATCTGCAGAACAGCAGCTCTATCATTAACCTGTCAAAGCCATTGTAGTTGGAGTTCTGTGAAGCATCGCCATTCAAATGCAGAAAATATCACGCTGTTATTACACTGTGCTCCCAACTTCTGGAGGTCGCTCGTGATATGATATCAGATGTGAGGATTTTCTAGGCCCTGCAGGGAAGTTCATCAGATTTCAGCTGGTGGATGGGTCTATCACGAAACTCTTCTGGGCTGGTGCACCGAAGTCTTTGCAGAGGAGAGTGATTAGCCCTCGTCTGGGCTACGTAATGTACCAGCGTGTTGATGCTGCAGTCACATTTCCATGGGTTGTCGTGCAGAAACACCTCCTTTAAACCTGAATCAATCAGAGATGTGATTAACACGTTACTCTTAACAGATAAGAATAAAGAATTATTTGTATTTGTTTTCGACCACAAAATATTGTTACATCCTCTTTTCTGCTAATTAGATTATCTAGATTTTTTCCATTTATTTTTAGGATTTTATATTTAGAGTTGCATTTTTAAGACAAAATTATATAAATGTTCAATTACACTGCACTCCATCTAGCTCAAAATTACTGAAAATGTTTACTATAGAAGGCCAAAAATCAAGCTAGATTTTTCCATTTATTTTTAGCTTTGATATATTTAGAGTTGCATTTTTAAGATAAAATGATACAAATTTTCAACTACAGCTCAAGCAAACTTGTTTGAGGGTCATGGGCCGAAAGTAAATGTTGCTTTATATCTAGTTATATTATTATTATTTTTAAATCAACGATATTCTTTACATTTCAATTTCAAAAATGTTAAAATAAAAATGGTAACTAAAAAAGAAGATATTCTTGTATGTGTTTTTCTTCTTTTTCCTATTTGTTTTTTGTGATACAACAGTGTGGGCCAAATCAAAGGTCATCACTGGCCAACTTTGGCCCATGGCCTCTAGTTTGAGCATCTCTGGTCTAGATGAACGCATAAGCTATGTTAATAGCCCCTAAGAAACGAGTCTGATCGGGGTCGGAGGAACCTAAAACTAGCCTAATAATTTTTGGTTGTCTTAGAACTGATAGCCAACTAGTCATTCAGGCAACCCACAAACTAGTCCTACTTCTTACCTTGCATGTTGGCTAGCATGTTTCCGTCAATGGCATGAAGCCGATTTCCACTTAAGCCCACGTGAGTAAGTTTAGGTGTGTGGCGGAACACGTCAGCTGGCAGACTCTCAACTTTATTCTTTCTCACATAGAGTTCCTGCAGGTTGGAAAGACCTTCTAGCGTGGCCGCGGTAACTGTGGAAAGAAAATTGTTGTCTAGCACCAGCATCTCAAGACCAATCAGGGACGCAAAGGTCCCAGCTTGGATATTCTTCAGCTTGTTGTTGTCCAAATTGAGAAAAAGCAGCTCGTCAAGTCCGACAAAGGCTTTGGGTGAGATGATTTGGATGTGGTTCAAGGCTAGATCCAGGACTTTAAGGGCAATCAGAGGCTTGAATGTATTTGGTGGGAGAGCAGTGAGAGCGTTCAGGGGCAGATCCAGCTCTGAGAGATTCCTCATGCCAATGAACATGTTAGGTTTCAGGCTAGCTATCTGATTCTGGCCCAGCATGAGAAAGCGTAGGTTTAGGAGATCTTTGAAGCCCTTCACTGGGAGTTTGGACATTCGGTTTCCTTGCAGATTCAGAAGCATCAGTCGTTGGGCACCAGAAAATGCTTGAGGGTGTATTGATTTGATTGAGTTTCGCTCTAAGTTTACGCTCTCGATTTTAGGGACGGAGCTCAGGATGTTGGCTGGGAGATCCTGCAATACATTTTCACCTTGAAAATTAAGAAACAAAAGGAAGTAAAAAAGGTGGGTTTAATAAGTTGTGCTGAAGTAAACATCATTATGCTCATACTAAGGGTAAACAGAGTACAACAGTCGAGTTCCAGGAGTAAAAATCCCATTAATTTTCTCCACAGGGGAATTGTTTTTTAATGAATAACTTATAGGAGAAACCTAAGGGAAAAATACAGCTGAAAAAGTAGACAGGCACGATTGCACTCTATATAAAGACAATACCTCAAATTCTGCAGCTGATTTACATAGATTTTAAATGATGAACCAGAGCTTTAGCTAGAGACCAGAATATCAAAGAGAGTTGAGGGTATGTTGAGGCACTTTTGAGGCAAGCAAAACACCCAAAATACCCTAGCAAGTCCTTAGCAACCACACAGAGCACTCTAGTAATGCTCTAATATCCATTTCAAATACCTTAGCAATGGCCATGGAACAATTCATAACACCCTAGTATTATTGTGATGGCTGTCATCTACATTTTCTTCAGAAGATGTAAAAATATACTTATTCAATTAAAAGAATACCATTCGTTTAACTTGTCCATTCTTCACTGTAATACCACACAAATTACTACACAAGTTTTAATCCAAGTGAGAGGCTTGGGTCTGAGCTCTACGTCAGGAATAATAACTAATGGACTAACAGTGTAACCATAGTAACCATTAAATTACCATAATTATTGTCATTATTACAACTGTAAAACATAGGAATACTGAATTTCCTTTAAGTGTACATTGCTTCAGTGTACTTTCAAAATTGTCATTGTTATATGTATGTGTATGTATCTATATATATATTAGGACTGTCAGTCGATTAAAATGTTTAATCTAATTAATTACATGATGTTTCGATTAATCTAATTAATCGCAATTAATCACAAAATTAATTTGACTGAAAATACCCACAAAAGATTATTTCAAGATATTTTTGTGTTAAATGAGAAAGTATCAAGCAGACATTACAAAATGTAGCTTTAGAAATATTTTATTTAATTCAACAAAAAAATGTATTACACATAAACATTTAGGCTACAACGGCCTAACATAAACTATGGAACATAAAAGAAGATAATTCGAGAAACATCTCAGTATTGTTTGTTCTGAGGCTTCGTCGAGGTAGTTGAGAATGCGAATGCTCTGTTCTCTCAAGGGAACAAGGGGTACCTCCGCAACTTATGTGAAGACACGGGGCAACAGGGACAGCCCGGAGGGCAGGACCTCGTACTGATATGCTCGTCCTTCGGACGCGAACCACAGCCATGGTCTGTGGTGCGGAAGGGTCGACACATGAAGTACGCGTCCTTCAGGTCGACCGCTGCAAATTAATGAATTAATTAAATGATACTCTAAATAAGAAACTAAATCTGCCAGGAGGTGGCGGTAAATGTAATTAATTTGATTCGTTCAAATGGCTGATTCATTCAGGAATGAAGTAAACGGCTCTCTTTATGAATGGACTACTGAATCATTGATTCACACACAATTCGTTCAAAACGCAAATTCATTCAGAAACTAAACACCGCTGTGTTGCTCGGAGACGCACGTAGATTGGTCCCTCTAAGCGAGATCCCAATTTCGTCGGTCATCCAACGTGACGTCGAGAGTGACCGACTGAAAGGGAACCAAAACAGCTTTGTTACCAACAGTCTTCAAAATACCAAAGTCCCTTTAAGGGTATTCTATAGTCTTTGAAAATACCTTCTTTTATGTTCCACAAAAGAAAGGTTTGAAACGACATGAGGAACATGAGAGTAAATGATAACAGAATTAAAAAAAATTGGGGGTTTAATGTTTTTATTTTTATTATTATTAATGAATTAATGAATTAATTAAATGATACTCTAAATAAGAAACTAAATCTGCCAGGAGGTGGCGGTAAATGTAATTAATTTGATTCGTTCAAATGGCTGATTCATTCAGGAATGAAGTAAACGGCTCTCTTTATGAATGGACTACTGAATCATTGATTCACACACAATTCGTTCTTCAAACGGCTGATTCATTCAGGAATGAAGTAAACGGCTCTCTTTATGAATGGACTACTGAATCATTGATTCACACACAATTCGTTCAAAACGCAAATTCATTCAGAAACTAAACACCGCTGTGTTGCTCGGAGACGCACAATAGTTCTGCTATGGCTTTAAAGGTAATACATTCTTTGCAAAATTGAGCAAAAACACATAATATTGTGTTTAAAATTTAACACAATATCAACTTTTTATTTACTGAACTGTTGTATAAAATCACATTTAAAAATCAGCACTCCTGTAATAGTAGGGATGCACCGATACCGATACTGGTACTCGTACTCGTACTCGTTAAAATGCCCCGATACCAAACGCCGATACCACACAGCATGTGATAAGCGCCATATTTAAACAAAGAAACACTGACAACAGACAGCAGAAAGGAGTTATGGATGTCTACTACGAAGTATATGTATGCAATGAATATAATGTTAAA